CACCAATGTCACCATTTAAACCTTTACAATCTTAATCTAAATGTAATGATCAGTTGCTACTTACTTTCAGAGATAATGTGTAGCTCCGAGATGTTGAAGGATCTCAGCAGACTCTTGTTTCAGCTTCTTGTTTTGTGCCTCTCSTCTGAAACTCATGCCTGCTCTGACTCCAGCCACTGTTTATATTGTTACAGCCGGGTTTCCAGAACACTCCAAGCTCCTCCCCAAGCTCCTCCCAAGCTCCTCCCCAAGTTCCTCCCCGAGCTCAGTGACGTAGTGCAGCTGGCTGGTGCGAGAGAGACGGTGAATATTCCAGAATGGGACAGAAGTTTGACGCTCAGCCAGCGGGACTGACTGTCTTAGGAACACAGTGTGGAGACTGTATCAGTAAGTAMCAGTGAGGCTCTTTCAAGTGTGGATGTTTCAGTTTTTCATCCAATAATGAATTCACCTCTTTCTCATTTTTCTCAGAATGAACAGTTTCACACATGTAACTGTTAAAAGGACTTGCTTTATTGCTGATTGAATGCATTCTTTTACATACATAGTAGACACTTGTGCATTTTGATCACATGAAATATTAGTTTAGACGATCCCACTGGATCAAATTAAGACAGTGACAGTAATGTGGCAAACAGAAAGATAATAGTTCTTACAGTAGAGTTACACTTAACAGCAGAAGCAGTGGAGGGAAGACATTAAATGTAGCACTGGTGGGTTAATGTTAGCAAGGAATGTTTATTTAATTAGATTTAATTTGCTGTGAATGATTTAAAAAGGCACATTCATAGCATGGACTGAAAGGTATGATCCAGTCAAAACACTCTTCAGCGAGACACAACTCTGCTGGGATTTAAGTGAGCAAATAAAAGCTTGGTATGAAATGAGGGAAGTTATAGAGATGTTTTACTGGCCACCATCTCCTCAACTTCCTCTGTAATATARTCTGTTATTAGCACAACAAAGTCTCTGGGTGTTTCTAGATCAGTCTAAGAAGAGCAGTGAATGTCATGAGTCACAGCTTTAAACTTAGAATAAACATCACTGGATTGTGTTGATTACATAACACGTTATACTGTAATTCATCACTGTGCTTTCCTGTCTGGATGTTACCTTTTAGAGCATGTATGCAGATACCATCCAATGAGATCATTTAAAACACATAGAACAAAACATTCCTTAAAGAATGTAAATTATAATACAGAGTTTGTTATGGCTCAGCCTAAACTCTGGCCCCTTAAATGTACTAATAAAATCTTAATGCCATTGACAGACAAACAAAAATATCATGTTCCATTCTTACGGCCATGATTTGGCACTGTGCGTAAATAGGATCACCGAACAAATCAACAACTCTGTGATCTAGTGACATAAGCATTAGCAACTAAGTACATACACATGAAAGCATGCAAGCAGGCTTTGTTTTTCACACACGTGACAAGTCATGTAAAATGTTAGTTGGTTATATATTATGTTTCCTACATATGTTACTCTTATTTTTCATATTCAACGCTATGTCTGGAGTGCTATTAATAAGTTACATTCAGCATAAGTAAAATAATTCCTCCGTTTTGTAGCAATTTAGAAAATAAAATAGATATCTCTGTTTATCCCAGGGCAACTGTGTTTTGAGGATCGTACCATCGGACACTTTCATTAATACCTGTGAATGAAACATAGTGTTACTGTATATATGTGACTGTAATATGCAAACACATAGTAATAGTAGATGATAAAAGACGTAAAGCAGCGTGAGACCTACCTGTAATAATTTGGTTTGAAGGGACCATTCTTGTTGAGGCCCATGTACTTGGCCTGCTCGTCAGAAAGCTCTGTTAGGTGGGCGTCAAAGTTTGGTAGGTGCAAACTTGCCACATACTCATCTGGAGGAGGGTGACAGATTGTGGGATGTATTTTCAAATAGAAATGTGCTTTGCTGGATCATGTAATTCTAAGGTCAAGTCACAGGGTGGCAGCATAAGTAAAATGCAGTAGTACAAACCTGCCTTCGTTTATAACCTAAAAGTGCACATTTTAACTAAATTACATCTTTCATTACTCATGGACTGAAGTTTAAGAGAAGTTTTTGTGTCAGTAGAGTCAGCCTTTACCCATTTTCTTTGGCAGGAGATAGACATCCTGTTTGTAACGTCCCTCAGGAGCGTTGAATAACTCAATCAGGGCCAGAGCCTACAGACAACAGACGTAAAGGATGACAGGAAAAAACAAGTTACTACAGAACGGCAGGGTGATGAGGTGAGAAGCAAGACTGATGTGTCAATGAGGGGAGAGAAACAAAACTGCTAACCTGAGTTGTAGCAGTGATGGACAACACAAACGTAGGCACAGTGGAGCAGCTCAGATTTAAAAGGCGACCCTGAAAAAAGATTTTGTATATGAACTGCACGGCACAACAACAGTTCGCAACGAGTAAATTGTGATCATTAATATTCTAACACTGCAATATTTTAAAATAGTAAAAGGCTTCTTAGGCTGGGGTTAATGCAATGTACAGTTTAATAGGTGGTGTTAAAACCCATTATATGTAATAAATCTAATTTTAAGATTTGGAGGGATGTAGGGCTGTCGAGGGACATTACCTCTGCCAGAAGGACAACCCTCTTTCCATCCGGCCAGATGATGTGATCGACCTGAGAGCGAACCCTCTCCCAGGTCAGCTCAGGACTGCGCAGACTCGCCTAAAGACATAAAAGACATTCATTCATACAGTCACAAGACCAATTTAAAAAATGTAGGTAAAAGTATAATATGGGATGAGTGACTTATTTATTAACATATCAATATAGAAAGCAATGAGAGAGATGGAAGATATGACAAAGAGGAATCCAAACATCTAGATCGCCCCCCTGGTGGCTGGTTGCAGTATAGGTCATAAACCCATCCCTTCCATGTTCGCAGATGGGACATGGGCCAAATAAAAAAACTTTTGGAAAACTTCCAATACATTTTTCCACATAATTTCTGTTTTTAATTGATTGAAATTAATCATCCAGTCTCTGCTCTTGAATATAAAAGAATTAAATAGGCATGTTTGGTTAAAGAGAGGCAATTTAGATGGATTTATAAACTTGGCATTTACAGCCAGAGAAAATCAATGAGGTATTAGACATGAAGAATCCACTCTATCATATTTAATATTGATTTTTAGAACAGTTGGTTATGTAACTTCCAGGGGTTTCATCAGCTCTGTGATGTTCTACTTCCTCTAGACTTTTATTGAAGCCGATAGTCTGGACCCCACTACGTGTGCATGGCTGGAAATTTAACTAGAAATTTTCCAGGTACACATACTGCATATCCGAAACACTAGTACACACAGTTACATAGACTCATTACCACATCGATCTCAGTATTGGAGTGTCCCATGTTGCAGACAATGCAGCCGTTCTTCATTCGGTCCAGCTGTTCTCTGGTGACGACATTCTTGTTGCCTTTATTTTAAGAAAAAAAAAACAGCAGATGAATGAAGTAGGAGAGAGTCGTGTTATCAGAGACTAAAAAATTAAATAAAAAAATGAATTCTGTTATAACAAGGAGTTTACAAAATCATGGAAATTAGGATTGTGATTCCTTTCACTTGACTAACACACAAAGCCCAAAAGCATTGTGGCAATTAGATCGAAAAAAGTCTGGTTGTTACCCTGAGACCTCCAATTAGGTTATTTAAATGAGCTAGAAACACTGTGATTATCAAAGCAGAAGTAATAGATGTCACTGCATGGTGCAGCGTACCAGTGCAAGTTATCACCACGTCCATCTGCCGAATCACTTCGCTCAGCTTAACCACTCTGAAACCGTCCATGCTGTGTGGATACATATACAGATATATTTTAGTCCAAGCAGCACAAACACAATGACAGGAGCTTGAAACAACTGATCGCTAAATATTGTTCTTTTGGCATCAGAGCTAATGTGATGCACAACATAGACACACAAGTACAACTAAGGGCGTTACGTTCGATGATGGAGCGGTGCTGTCTGGTAATGGTTAGTGACTCACCAAGCCTGCAGGGCACAGATGGGGTCAATCTCAGTGATGCACACAATAGCTCCAAGAGCTTTAAGAGCAGTGCAGCAGCCTTTCCCCACCTACAGACCAACACAATACAAGTGTGTTATGACAATATTTGTAAACATAAACATATGTGTAAAAAGTTCTGCTGCAGTAAAAATCCAGTCATTTCACATTTTGTTTTATAAATAAAAGAGTGATTCACCTCCCCATAACCACACACCACGACTTGTTTGCCTCCAAACATGATATCCGTGGTTCTCTTCAAGCTGGCAGATACAAGAGAAATAAAACACTTAAATCCATCTTCATACTTCAAATACAATAAGTCTTTAGATAAAACAAAAGCAACAGTGGTGTGATCCTAAACAATGAAAAGTTCTCTTGATGATTTATCCTCCTCACCCATCCAGGATAGATTCACGGCAGCAGTAAAGGTTGTCGAATTTCTGCTTGGTGACTGAGTCATTCACATTCATGGCAGGGACACACAGCTTGCCAGCCTTTGACAACTGGTACAATCTAAGAGGACACATGAGAAAACATGTTCAGGCAGATACGGACGCACACACACGCAACATATGTGCAACATATCCAAACACAAACTGAGCAGCAGTCCTGAATGAACTTGCTCTTTCCAGCTGACATAATTGATTCCACTGAGAGAGAGCTGTGGTACAGCTCTGTCATGTTCCTCAAATAGGCTCCAGCCAAATCAGGCCAGTGAACTTTTTCAATCTCTAGAGTCACTGTGTATTAATATGAATATGATTTAAACAGCGGTCTGTGATACTGTTTGTGCTGACACAGTACATGTCATTCATTAGAAACTGCCTCTGTTGGGAGCTTAGTAGCTTTCAGCTCAACTCCATCTAGAGGAGAAATTAGAAACTCCTCAGAAGGATTTTAAAAGCAGCTTAACTCTCAATAAAATACAGTGCTTCAAACATGGGGTTTCATAGGGTGAATGTTTATTTTCAAGCTTTTATTAGCTATAAAGATGTAAGTCTGGGACTCAGAAATTAAAAGTCAAGTGCAAAAGTCTAAAAGCTGCTAATTATATTTTATATGGGGAGTGGAACAATTAAAAAAAATTCACAAGAATTGGGTCCAGATATTCTCCAGAGGCAGCAGGAGATTCTCCGCTCAGGCATTCACAACAGCAGGCAGAGGTGAGAAGAAACATTTTAATTCTTTGGTGGAGCCTTAATATTTTTATTTACAGCACATCAACACCAGCTAAGACTCTTATCAACACAAACTCTCTCTTTTTGTCGGTATCCTCGTGTATTCTGCGTGGTGCTTTTTTATCGGGCCATGTTTGTTTTCTTGTTTTTCTCATTTTTGCATCTGTCACAATCATTAACCATCAAGCATCACTAACTCCCCTAATCGCTCGTGGTGAATCCTGCAGAGGATTTCCTGCTGTGTTCTCACACCGGCTCCTCCGGACTTTATACCAAGGGAGCAAGGCAGAGAAAGTCTGCAGAAACTCCAGAGGCTCTCACTGGGACGTTAGCATTTACAGACACTAACCTCCTCAGGAGAAACTGCTTATTTTGCCAGCTTTTTTAGTTACTTGGGTAAATCTGGGTGTTGAAGGCAAAATCTATGAGCAAGATTTTATTATCCGACAGAACAAAATGACCATAAAATGAATTCAGGGGTCTGATCAATACCAATAAACCAAGACATGCTGCTACAGTCTTTATTATTTATCATCACATTATTGGCTGTATTAAGCCAACAGTCATTGCTTTGGCAACCATCCACACTATACAAATAGTGTTCTTGAGTACCAATAAAGAAAGCAGCAAATGAAATGTTATCAGACAGAAGATGTTTGCCAAAAATACAGAAGGGACACTGATTAACCTAGAGACATTATTCCCCATCTCACCTGTGCACCCCAGTGACACTTTCCTCTACAATGCCCCGGACTTTCTTAAAGACACTGGGATACTTCTTGTACACCCAGTGGGTTAAATCTCCGCCATCATCCAGGATCTAAGGGAAACAAATCAGCTTCAGTTAACAAGAGGAAAGATGACCTTCACAGTGAAACATCTGTGACACCATAGCAGAGCCTGGGGATAGAAGAGATAAAGGAGGACAGAGTAAGACTGGCATATCATGGGATTGTCAGACTGATACCATATTAGCCTGCCAGCCCTCTGTGTTGACACAGCGATCGATGCACCACCAGAAGTCATCCTCTGACTCACCCTTCCATGCAAACACAGGTACTCCTGCGAGAAACAAAACACACACATCTAATGGCTACGACGGACATCAGAGATGAGGACTGGAAACTGCACATGCAACAGATCCATTAGAACAGCATCACAAGGTGAAAACACGTGCAGATTAAATGGTTTCAAGTTTTATTTGGGTTCATACAACTTCACAGTCACAAAAAGTGTTTAAAACAAAACTACACAGCAACACTTTTTATTGCATTACAGACGTCCATACTGGACTATAATTAGCTTATTTCTAGAAAGCGAGAAGCATCATGTTATTAACATTTAAGACAGATAACATCCACTATCGAGTTGGCGAATAAAAAAATATTTTTAATTATCAGAAATAGATTCTTTATCTTATGCGAATCCACAAACCATGAAACAAATGACTGAGTCTTGATAGTTGTAATGTGCTGTTTTTGGTTTATTGTTACAAGCGGTTTAGAAACTGACTTTCTGACAAAAACCAGCAAAGTTATGAGGGAAAGAAATCACATGTAAATCCTGACTTTACAGAGAAGAGGATCTTACCTGTTTCAGCAAGAGCAGCAGCCACCTCATTCTGAGTGGAGTAGATGTTACAGGCAGTCCAGCGACACTGGGCCCCGAGGGCGACCAGGGTTTCAATCAGGACCTGAGAGGGAACCACAGGATATACAGTTACAGGGAAAGGTTGCAGTGATAAAGAGGAGAAGCGCGTGACAAGCGATCTGCAGTGAACAGTATGAGTGGACGTACTGCTGTCTGAGCAGTGATATGGGTGCAGCCTACTATCTTCGCCCCAGCCAGTGGCTTCTCCCCCTGGGCTCTCTTCCTCAAGGAGATCAGGGCAGACATGTCTGGGGAGGAATAGATTTAGAGAGTTGAAGAAGCTTGACAGGACAAAAAGGTCAGCATTTGATTTTTTGGAGAGAGAAGAACGATGGATCATTCTGAATACAAAAATAAGCTCTTATGCTAGGTGGATGTGCAGTGGTTTGACTGTAAAATTGAAAATGATTGAAGCAATAGCTGTTGCAGTTCAAGCTTTAAGTCTGAAGAACTCTTGACAAGCACTCGCACCTACTTCTCACTCACCTGTGCAATGTAAACAGCCAGAGATGTATCAGAAGAAGAAAATAAGTAATGTCTCATTCCAGAGTAATTAGGAACATATGGTTGGATACTTTGTTGAAATCAGGACTAGTGGATCTTTATCAAACTGTGTCTGAGACAGATGCCATGTGATATGTATCTGGGAACATAGTCACTGTACTGGAAGGTCAAAGCTCACTTTGTTTTGATGGTTGATACAGTAAGTACATGAATGCCTCTCTATGATTCCAGAGGAGACTTAACTCAAACCCATTGTGATCAAAGTGGCTGAATCATCAATGGTCCCATGATTATGTTATCCAATATTTTCTATTCAAATATGGAAAATCATTTTTTGGAGATATACCTTGTTCTGCGATCTCTATTTCTCGGCGGCCAAATTCAGCCTGCTTGATGTTCTTCACACAGAAGTCGCTGCTGCCGTGGGTGTTGACCTGGGCTTTGTCCCGGGGGGAGGTTTCATCATCTGAGCTGTCAGTGTAGGATGCAGCTGAGAAATTGAGAACACAAAAGGTCACTATGCTGGAATTCATACAAAAGAGCCAATTATGAAATTTATACTTCAAATCCATTGTATGAAGATTGGAGCTTGTGTGTGAGTGCGTTTTTTCTGTATGCATGTCTGTTATGTTTATTGCAAACGCGTGTGTATACATGTGCTGCATTTATGGACAGCACATTCATCAATCATCATGCAGAAAATTCATTAAGTTGACAAATCAAGTGGTGGAGTGAAACATTCAGGTGTCCATTACCTGAGCTGTAGCTGTCTGTGGAGGACTGCGAGATGGACCGGGAGAGAGAGCGGCGGCCGGCCTTGGTGGGGTACTTACTGAATTCCTGTTTGTCCTCTGTGTTTGCGAACTGGATCTGGCGGAAAAAAAAAAAACAGGACAAAATGTTGCAGAATGTGAGACGCATGAGAAAAGATCTGCACACAAATTAGGGCTTTTTTTCTCTCTCTATCTATTCACTCCCTCTGAACTCTGAAAACGTACCTCCTGCAGGTGGCCCCTTACTAACTATGGTAGATTGTTGTTTTCATGATGCAGTTTAAATCTAATATAAAAAACCTAATAGCTAGAGCGATCATTCTTCTTCCAACAGAAAGGCAACCCTTCTATTCTCCACCTTATCATGTTGCGCACTCAAGATGACATTGTTATGTTCTGTTACATGCGGTGAAAAATGTGTTATGCGCAGTGGTGCCAGAAACTTGCAGAGGAGAGGAAAAAAATTGGCTGATCTCAAACATTTTAAAAGTTCCAAAATATTGTGTACATGTTTCCATATTTAGAGATCTTTTGGATCAATAAGTTTTATGTGTTCATTTAGCAAGATTTATGTCTAAACCCATTTTGATGGGTTGTCCACAAGAAGTATAATTTCAAAGGTAAATTACCTGAGCATGTTACAGTACATCACAGGTGACTAAGGGAAAAAAGAGTGGTAGCCTATTTTTAGATTGTCCATGCAGCTCTGTGATTTGTGCTTTGTTCAAAACCACAGGCATCTGTTGTTGTTGTGTATCGTGTCTATCTAACCCTTCAAAGGTCCCAAGATCAAACACCTGGAAACACATATCGGGGATCTGCACACAGCTACCTTGGATATTTTCTGGATGAGCCTTTATCCCAAAAAATAAAGTTCAGTTTTAACTGTCCAATGACTGATGTTACAACATACATTGATCTGGCTCATTTCAATCAGATTCCAAAAAAGAAGCCAGCGTCCAGTATGACTTTGGCTCATTTTAGGTCTTGGAAAGGCTAAAATCAGATTTAAAACCTGACAATTACGCTGCCTTAATTCAACACCCTGAAATTGTCATAATCTGGCTGCAGACAGCAGCAGTAAAAAGCAGTCAGCTGTCAACATTAGAAACAGTAGGAAGACCTAACCTTTAGGTTCTTTAGTAAACTGGGTCAGTTAGGTCAGTGAGGAGCCACTTGGTAAAAGTCCAGCAGAGCCGTCTTTCTACACTGATCCTGACAATAATAACCTCTGCCAAGGACGTTATGTTTGCATCTGCATCTGTTTGTTTTCTTTGTCTGTTTTACATAACAGAAAATACTTGACGGATTACCACATACTTGATGGATTGATGTGGTATGGGTCAGGAAAAACCCCATTATATTTTGGTGCAGATCCAGATCAGGAGGTGGATCCTGGTGTTTTTCCCCACTTTCTTTGATATTGTGAGATAGGGCTTGTATGTAATTATTGATGAAAACATTCAGACATATTTAGGGAGTTGGTATCATTGAGTGTGTGACATTATGTGCACATACAAATAAGAATTCAACTGATCTGTACATCTCTCTGGCTGATGCTGGTAACAGTAGACTATTGTCTGTGGGGTTTTATAGAATAAATGCTAATACCAAAGATACCTTGATGAGGGGAGAAGATGAGAAATCTACCTGTCTGCCTCCCAAGAAAACCAAACATCTTTTATGAGAAACATATAATTTAGATTTATCAGACAACTTCATTTTTTCTTTTATATCTCTTGTATAAGAACTGGACATAATTTCCACATGTGCTTGCTCTGGGGTTGACATCCTTTTGTCAATGTCTTCATTCATTGTGACATTGCCACTGGATTTTCCTTGTTCTCTTATTTTAGATGTCCATAGGATGTGTTTGGAGTAATAACTCATGTGCAGGGCAGCTGAGTTGACACAACAAATCTGAGGGACACACAAATGCCAGACTAACAACAATGAAAGCGAAGTGCACTGTACATACAGATATCAGCCTAAATCCCTATGGTAATTTTTTTAAAAACTCTAAATTCAAAGATGTTATTGGTACTGTCACACACACACACACACACGCTAAATGGATAGTTGTCTAGGTGTAAGCTCACATGGGTGAAACAGGCCTTTGTGCATAGCCCAAGTATTCCCCACACAAACGTTAGCAGAGGCTGAAACAGGAGTACTTCTACCTCTTGACAATATTCATAGTTACAGCTTTGACTTCCATTCATTTAAAAGCACAGAAACTCTTGGTAACTTTATTCACCAGTGTTTCTACCACATTCTCTCTTTCCATGGGCACCTGGGTTTCAACAATCTACTGTGTCAGTAAAAAGAAACTCAAGAAGCTTGTGAGACAGTGTGAACTGACAAGATCTCTGCATGTCTCTGTTTTCACAATTTGCAGTGTGCTCCATCTCATGCACTTGCAAAATAGTACTTTTATGTTGGCTTTGCATCAGTTTGGATTCCTGAGGATTCAGCAGAAGTTTTGTTCAACCCTTTGAATTCCTGCATCTTTCACCTGAATTCAAAGACATGGAAACCCAGAAAAGCCTCTTGAGGTAAACAAAAGATTAATCTAGTTATTTATGAATTGTTCAGTGTAATATAAGATCCTGCTGGTCTTACACAGCAAACTCTCACAATCAGAAGAGCTGTGTGAAAACCTCGACCATGTGAGGAGAGTGTACTTCCACCTGATTTCAGCTGAACGTTTTTTCATACAAGTCAAAGAGAAACACTGCTTCACATGACTGCAAGAAAGAAGACAGAAAACTTGCAACATGCCTAAAGTAACTCCAACATATCTGTGTGTGGGATATGCAGCTAAGCTATCTTTAAGAATAAGTGTGCTGGATAAGTTCCCGGTGATGCATTAGTGGCAACTCACCCTTTCTCTCCCGTGCCCATGTTTGTGTGCCATGGCTGCCTGCTCTCTCCAGTTTTCCAGCCTACTTCTCTGTGCCTGTGTCCTCTGTGTGTGATGGTACTAGGTGTCCCTGATGCTATTATCCCAGAACACTCCCAGGCAGAGCCGGGGGGAGGTTCCCACCTATTATTGTGATTTCTAATGGCCGACCTGGAGATAGATAGAGAGCGAATGAGAGAGAGAGCTTCCTTCGTTCTCTCTCTCTCTTTCACTCTCTGATTCTGCCCTTGACAACCAGCTGCTAAAGTCTGGATGTATTTTATGGTCGATTTATTTAAACGCTGTGAGAACACCTTCCACAAAAACCTGATCCACAAGCCAGAAATAAGTCCAGAAAAAAAATCACATACACACACAATTTGCTCCAGCTACTCCTTTCAGGCTTCCTGATTTGGATTACTAACAGAAAAGGGAGTGACAGGAGGAATTAAACCGTGTGTCCATTAGCCTTCTGCTGCATCAATAAGCGGCCCATCCAGTCCCATCTTGCAGCTAAAAATACCCTTTCTCTCTTAGATAGCAGGCCAGGTCACAGACTTAAGCCGGGGTGTGGCGGTCAGCCGGCAGTGTAAAGGGCTAAAGTGGGTCTGGCATAAGGCAACACTAACACCTTACCCAGACACCACAAGTGCTCAACAGCGCCACCCAACTGAAAACCCATACAGTCTAATCCAATTACTACAGTAGATCCTTGTATATCGACTGCTCACAGCAATCAAAGACTTCCCCCAAGGAGGTTATGCTTTGACCCCCCTCCATTTGTTTGTTGGTTGTTCTGCATGTTTGTTTGTTTGTAAACAAGATTATGCAAAAAAAAAAAAGTCTAAAGAGATTACGATAAAACTTGGTAGAAGGAAGAGCTGAGTGAAGAACCCAAGAAATGTAGGTGCGCATCCAGATCAGGGGGCGGATCCAGGCGTTTTTTATCACTTTTGATAACATTGCATTTTTTAGCTGGGAATAATTCATGGTTTTTATGAGAACAGATCTGCCATCTTTAGGGAATTACTTTTAGTGAGAGCAATTTGGTGCTATTGGGCCTTGGTGGATGTATGTGTTCTAATTAGGGAGATTTTATATTAAAATAATTTTCTAAAATATAAGTGAGTAAAGAAAAGTAATGCTCAAGTCAAGAAGTGAATTTGTCAAATGGGTCTAGCTCTATAATGATTTTACTTCTGTTGGTCTGCAAAGGCACCTACACAGGTCAACATGAGCATGACAGCTTAAAGTGTTGTGAAAGAAAACACACCTTCAGAACTATTGCGTGTGTCCTTTAGCAGAAACTATCATTTCTACTCAGTTTCACACAAGACAGTCTTCAGAGAATATCAAAATCAAGGCAACGCAAAACCACACTTCATTAACAAAGACACAGCTATGTGTCTCTGGTATATTACAAATATCACTGAGAGGGTGAATATGAAGAAAGAAGAAGCACACAGTCATTTAAATACAGCCATGCTTTTTAAAATAACACAGACACAGCTGAAGAATGAGGAAACTAGTCAGTATGGATGTGTTATATTTCTCAGTCTATAGTGACTTTACACCCAAAGTTTATATGGGTCGCTCTTTGGGGCAAACACAGAGCTTCACTTGTGTGGACTATAGCAGACTTAGAGTTTTAATAAACATAAAGAAACTAGTGTTAGTGTTGTTTCTAAACAGAGCTAGCTGAATCTAAAGCCCCACAGTGAATATGTTATGTACATATTGTAAATCTTGGTTTTGTGTTTTGTATACATTTTCATTCACCTTTCAATTTTGTCTAGAAATCTTGGTGAATACTAGTGCAGTCTATGTGAGACTTTACAATTCAGCCCATTCATTCTCAGTGTCTCCAGGTCCAGTCCAACCTTAAGGAGTCACCAAAGTCACACAATTCCAAAGACTTTAAGTTTGACGTTTAAGAGGCTTTAAGTTTGACATTTGAATCCCTCTCACGGTCTGAGGCTTAGGAAAAGAAATATTTCATTCTCAGTTACAGAACTGTGTGTTTCCACACCTTGATTTAAAATGGCCCAGTGAGAAAAAAAAAAGACCTTCATGCAATTCCACCATAATGTTGTCCGAGACAAAGATTAACAGAAGGTCTAAACATGTTTGAAATTCTATGTTAAATAAAAAATGATGATGCATGAACAGATTCACGATGAGAGTCTGGTTCCCAGGGGGCGTGTTGTGTAACTGCTGGAAGGATTCAAAGAGCGAGGAGGCGTAACAGTGGCGTTCTTTGACTCACCCACCCACACGTTCAATGTTCATTTTCAGTTTGTAGCACTGATTGCTTTTGCTCATCGCACCTTTCAGCTGATTATGTGACAATCCATTAATTCGACAGACGTCCAACTCTTCATTTTCATGCATGCTCATTTCTGGATATTTTAATTAGGTTTTCCCCAATCATGTGAAAGTATTTGTTTGACTTGTTAATCTTCATGCAAACAGGTGGCTCAGTTTGACACTGAGCTCTCACATTTATTCATAACATAGCTCTTTGTTTTCATAAGCACAGTGCACAGCCCTACCATCCAATATGTTTTCAATCAGGCTCCCTGAGGCGGCTCACAGTCCACACATTATTGCCTTGGCAGACAGGGGGTCAGAGCTTATGTTCTGAGTCTGTGAGCCCTGCTGCTGGGAAAATAGATATTTTTTATTATCCTCAATATTTTGTACAGCTCTAGTAGACATACTTTTGTAAAAAAAAGAAAAAAGGGCTGCAATAAATTCACTAATTCCACAACATAGACATATGTTCAAATAAATACTACTGACTAGTTATTTCAGTGGTACCAAATATTAACGTTTGCAAGTTTTCATGATGTTCATTCAAATATGTGTTGATTTTTAAGACTGTATTTATTTGTGTGTTAGCGTATCAAACAGGGGCCATACAGATAAACAGTGCATTTAGGATGAGCAACTCAACAAATGTGAAGCTAACTAAGCCTCCATAGTTTTAATTATTTATCACCAAATATACTCAGTGGTAGTTTGCTCAAATTGTACACAACATCAAAGATACATTGTACAATCAATTACACATCAAATACTGCTAGTTTAAATGTACACGTTTTTATTTTCAAACATTTGCTCACAATATAAAAACAATATTTAATGTTGTAAAGTTAATATCAAACCAATATATCACTGCACACTATATACAACACTTAAAGTTATGACTAAATGCAGTGAGGGACGAAATCCCAAAATTCTGTCTGCCAGCAGAAGATGGTTAATTTTCATGGATGTTTTAACGACACCGCAGGCAGAAAATCTCTCGGTGCCTCGAGGCAAGGAGAGCTGTCCTCCTGCTCTTTTCAATGCAGATCCCACAACTTAGCTAGCAGCATTAACTATAGAACAATCCCTGCACACACAAGTTCTTGATCTACACACACTGCATTCTCACTCGCAGGGATGGGGGGATGGCTGAGAGGGATTATTAAGGTTATTAAGGGGGGGTGGTTTTAGGTCATTTTGGTATAAAGGGGATGGCGCAACCGCCCCTCATCTCCCTACAATTCACCAACTGACTATCTGTATTATTCAGAGTGCACCTGTAAGAAGCACAAATGCCAAACGATAAAGGTCACCTTGAGGGATGGAAAAATGGCCCATAACTGTAATCCTAAATTTGATGATAGCACGGCCTTGAAAAGTCCCACACATTTTGGCAAAAGCTATTTCACCATGAGCTTAACGGAACTGGTGTAATCAGTTGAAGGATCACTGAACCCGAGCACCGAAGGTCAGAGACGTTTTGAGCCTGTGCCCGGGCATGTTAGTTCTGAGAGACAAAAAAAGATGCCTTCACCGAGCTGTCTGTTCTGTGTTAATGCCCCGCGAGTTGCCAGCTGTTACACGCGGTGGTGGATCTGTCATGATATGAGCAGCCCATCTCCAGGGAGTCTTTATGTTCCATGATTGTTCTGTGCTGTCGTGTAACAGCCAAGAAATGTGAGGCCTTTTCTCCTATAGGTGCACCTCGAGCTGCCAAAACATTTTTTATCATGCTGTTCATATCACTAACCATGATGACACACACACACACACACACACACACACACACACACACACACACACACTCCTGGACAGATTCAAGAGTGATATCAGGAGCACAAGGAAGATTTAAGTAGACATGATTAATTATACTTTTGAGGATTCATTGACTGCAGTTTACACTGGACTGAAATCCTTCAGAAGGCCCCTCATTAAAAACCTCATACCAACTGAGCCGACCCGCTGCCTGAGTATTTCTACACTTTGCAGATCCCGAGGTTTAAGAGCTCAACTTGGCGTTTGGTTGTGACTTGCCTCTAGGATGTTATAGAGTGGGATATAAATAAACAGGGGGCTCAGTGTGGAGGCAACAATAATCCAGCTTCTGGAAAATTATATGTTTCTTCCTCAGAAATAAAATATATGATTTGCCAAATACCAATGTGTTTGTGGGCCTCACTTCTCAGGGTGTTTATCTGAATCCCACTCCTGTTTGGGATGATGGAGAGATCCCTCAGTGGACGTGCTGTGTGACACTGCAGCACCACATCCAACAACGCAGCAGCCAAGCACCGCTGACAACCTGCTCAGGTTTAGTTTTCACATCAAAACACGATTCCTCGTGAACAAACAACAGCTTCACTGCGGTACAATGCGTGCCGTGCGTGGATTTATGATCCTCATCACATGTGCGTGCCCCCTCTCACACGCGCACACACACACACGCACACACAGCATCACGTCTCTTACCTTCTTCACTGATTTCAGAGTGGGCACTGCGGTGAACGCGGCTGACGGCATCTCCCCGACGTTCATGTTCACATCGCTGCTGTTCTTGCTCACTGTCAACGCGGAGTATTTCTCCGCCACGTTCTCGGTCTCCTTGACATATTTGGTGGCTTGTTTCACCTCCGCCTTGCTGTCCACCACCGACTCGGTCATCGCATCCAGGTGCGGCCGTTTACCGGACCTAAGCTATTTGTACGAGATAAACCGCGGAGCTCGGGACCAACGTTCGCCTTTCACCGTCGTCGTCGTTACAGTGACGCTGGGGCACTTCCGCTCGCAGCACAAAGTAAAAGATGGAGCCGCTCCGTGTCGTCGTTACTTCGTCAAAGCGCGGGCGCACACCGCCGGTCTCGGTCCTCCGGCTCTTCTGTCATCCGCACACTGATACATCTCCGGGGGGCGGGGTCGGGCTGTGTGACGCTGTCACCTGAACAAGGGGGCCGGGGGCGTGGGCGGTGAGCATCCAGTCAGCGCCGGAGGTGAGCAAAACGAGTGAGCCTCGTTACTCGTTACTAGTAACGAGTAGTTACGTTCCAGCTACTCGTTACTTGGTTTGGAGAAGTAACGCGCGTCGTTACAGCGCTGCAGCATCTCCTGGAGGCTGAGGACAAGTCCCGCCTCCGTCGCTGTGATTGGCTGATTGTTGCACGAACGTCAGAATCTCCAGCGTCTGATTGGCGGAGACTGTTCCGGGCAGTGATTGACCTGGGAGGTCTCCTCAAAGTCAACACTCCAATTTGATCTTTTTAAAATCTTCTTTCTTTCTTTTTCTCATCAGTAACATATTTATATGTTTAACATTATTTTTCTTGTAAAGCATCATTGAACTGTGTTTTGAAAGGGGCTATATAACATGTATTCCTTTTATTTTACTCTTTTCATTTAATTTTGTTTGTCTGTCATCTACACAAAATGTGCTGGACATATTATAACCTTGATAAAGAAAGTGGTGTGGTCAGGGAAGAACCACATTTAAATGTGGAGCTGATTCTGGTTCAGGAAGCAGATGTAGGATTTCTTTTCTCTAATTTCTTCAACATTTTTGAAAGTGTTTTTCAACACAGATTTTGATGAACAAAATTAGGCATTTTTTAGAGCAGTGAAATCTGAGTGTGTGCAATTTGGTGCAGATTCAAATAAAACCTAGATCTAGTACATTTAAATGTGATTTCTTGGGGGACTGTTGGTCCTCGGTGGAGGTATGTACTCTATTGAGTGTCATTCTAAGTCTCTTCTCTTTGAATAGACAAGTTCACTTATAACATCAAGATGAAAAGGTTCCTAATGATGTAACTTAAATCAATTGGCTAACATTCCTGTGATTTAAATAAATGGCGTAAAGATGAAAATCTGATAAGAGTAACCACAAATAACTGCGAGTCACTTGATAAAATTTAATTGACATAGGTTTCATGAATTCAATGTCCAAACTTTTTTCATTATTAAAAAAAAATAATAACATCGCACGACTGCATCTGCTGGGTAAAAAAATCTATTATCTACAATGAAAAAAATGAACACTTAGGTGAACTGCACAATGAAGTAACTATATGGATATAATACGAACTGTGATGCAACATAGCCATTTTTTTTTCCTACAAACACAAAAAGTCTGACCACAAATCGTATAAAATGCATCCACAGAATTGGGCATGTTGGTAAGTACATCCAAAACACACAGTGGGGAAGAAAATAATTTCTGTACAACATGTTCACATTAGTTAAACATTTCTGTTTTTGGGCATCAGATGCAGGTTGTTCTTAAGATGCCTAGTCCATCCCCACAGCACATGGGTTGAAAAAAATACGGGGCATCACATAAAAGATAAAGGACACAAGAGTAGCATCGAGGCTCAACGAGTGTCTCTGAAAAAAAATCTGTACCATTTACAAAAAAATATTTAAAGCAACAAGAATCCACAAGTTACAAATTGTCATATTTTTTACCAGACCAGGGTCTGACAGAGTATGGCTTCACAGCTTTCCTTTTCATCTGTGTGACCAACACCGGTTACCCATGATTTTATGTTTCATCACTGTCCGACAAATCCCTGTGAAAAAGCTGGTCCTAAGTGCTTGACCAGTAAAGCTGAGCATGGAACTATCCTCCATTTTAGAAAAGAAGACCAGTTCAGAGGCTCAGCAGACCACATGGCCAGCTTCCTGGAAGACCAGTGTAGAAGTAGAGAAAGAACAGAAGAAACCCAGAAACGGAGCTGCAGAGCTGGTGTAGTACGATGGGACAGATGGGGGAGACAACTGAGAAGAGAAGGTATGGCAGATGGTATAGCTGGGATGAAGAGTCTCAGGCAGGGTAAAGTTCTCAGGCAGAGGACGTTTGCTAAGAGACCCGGATCATCTGAGCCACCGTCTCATCTGCTGCTGCATCCTGCTGCTGCTGCTGCACGAGAGGAGAAAGGCACAATAATAAATTATGAAGAGTTTCATTCCTAAAGAAGACACCACCTTTTCCAATCCAGTGTAAACTAATTCAATAGAAACTACTAGTTAAAAAATCTGTCTTAAAGAGCCGGGTTGATAACTTAGTCAGTATATTTTCTTTGTTTTATTACTGGATGATGATGTATGGGTAGTGTTGTTCTACATTCAGCTTCTTGGCATACCTGTGATAGGGCCAATGCCATTTCCTCCTTTTCCTTGGGGGAAAAGAAACGTCCTCCATCTCCTCGCTTACGCTGCATAGCGTGACGGTGGCGAGACTCGTGCAGGTATTTCTGTCAGAGAAAAAGCTGGTTTATAGGATTATCATAAATTAAACATTATGCTTCCTTTGTACCAGCAAAGGTAATTTCATTCACCCGAAAAAAAATTGTATATTTCACTTTCCTCTCAATGTATCTGACTATCTGACTCCTTGTAAAGCATCAGTGTTAAACTACAAATCCCATTGATGTACAGAAAAAGTCCAGTCAAAATAAAATAGGATCTGATGAAGAGATGAACAATGGATAAATTTAAGTATTTGCATTAAGTGGGTAGTGAGGATGAGAGCTTTAAAATGTAGACATGTTTGTGTATTGTACGATAAACGACAATCAAACCATACCCTCCTTTCTTTGGGGATCTTGCCCTCTGCCTCCAGCTTGGCCCGGGCCTGTCGTCGCTTCAGGATTCGATGGTACTGTTTGGCATTGACATAGAGAGGCTCCTCCTCGAGCATCTCCGGCCCTGGCAGGGGGATACGCTGCATTGTGGAAACCCCGCCACCTCCAGGGACCATCTGATGGAAGACAACAGGCCCACAGTGATTAAAACCTCTATAATGGAAAATATGTAATAGAATATATGGAGATAAACAAGCAGTTACAGTGTAAATAGTAAAATAAATATAAACTAAATTATTAGGCCATGGCGCTGTGTATCTACTTAAGTGTTTTCAGTCATTCTGGCTAGATCATCTTCTTTACCAGCAGACACTGGTCGACATTACGTTGAGAATAGCATGAGGTCAATGTTACGTCAACCAGTGTCTGCTGGTAAAGAAGACGACACGTGGGTGCAGGGGTTGTGGTGTGTTGTTATGGGTTTTAAATAAACATTATATTTGCCGCATTTGACATGGTTCATTTTGTCAGTTTATGTAAAAACAATTCAATTAATAGTAAAGACAACAAAATGAATTGTCACCAAATAATTGATTCCCATATCATTTCAATATGATTTCATTAAAAGATAATGAATCCATTACAGACGTTATTAGTTTTAATATTGCGCAGAAAGTGGCAGCAAAAATTATAAACAGAAACTACATTTAAAAAGACATTTAAACACTAAGTGACCTCAACCACACCACACACCCTCTTGTGAGTCTCCCCCCAAAAAAAACTGAAAAAAAGAAAAGGTAATAAGATGCTGGGTACCTCTGCACAGGGTCTTACCATGACCATTCCACCTGCATTGACCATGTTGCCAGAGACGGGCAGGGTGACGGTCACAGTGCCTTGGCCGCTGTTCGTGGTGTTAGTGTTGGCCCCCCCTGCCTGAACGATCTGGGCACCGGCCAAGCTGGCAGCTGGAATTGTGATCATTCCTGAAAAGACATTCTCATCATAGTTAATGCTCTGAAATCACAACTCAGCAGTGCACCTGTTTAGAAAGTCCACAAAAGCACAAGGCAAACACAAGCTGGAGGAGAGAACAGAGCTTACCCTGCTGCAGGACGGTGCCATCTGCATTGACGGGCTGGTAGACGATGGTCTGCCCGTCGGCTGTCTGTGCCACCTGCTGGCCCTGCAAGCTGATCTGCTGCCCCTGTGGAGTCCCATGTGAAGAGAGAAGACACTCAGTAGTCTTATCGATAATCATTTCATGCAATGGATTTGAAATTCATTCGGTCAGAGTTTAATACCTGGTTCTGTCCAGCAGTGATGGCTGTCTGGGGCTGCTGGATGATGATCTGCTGGGGCTGACCCTGCTGACCCTGGAGCTGGAGAGTCTGACCACCCTGCAGCTGGATCTGACCTGGCTGCACCAGCTGGATCTATACACAGACACAGTAACACACAAACATTGGTCCCATCTTTTCTATCTACCAGTATAATTCCACATATATCAGTGTGCTTGTACAGGATAATGGGGTAAATACTGAAAACACATGATAATCTAGTAACTACACCCTTACCTGCTGAAGTCCCTGAGCTCCGGATACAGGGACCTGCATGATGGTTTGCCCCTGACCCCCTGACATGGCCTGCACCATGATGGGTTGTCCAGATGATGTGATGAGCTGACCGCCGCTCACCTGGACCATCAGAGGCTGCCCCTGGACCTACAGGGAGGCACAGACGATGTTTTATAGCAGCACTGGCAGCGATTGTTACCACAGAGTTACTCATGTGTGACTTACAGGACTTCAAGCAGGCAACGTCAAATCTAAAACATCCAGGAAATCATGTCATGGATAAAAAAGTATTTGATGATTTGTTGTCATTCTTTCTGTTTTAGGATATATTAACATGAAACCAACTGCAGCATATGTACAGTAGGTTTTTGTTTTGGCCACAAATGCCAAGTACAAATGATTCCCTTCAGTGGAGTTATACCGCTTGATTCCATCAAATCAATTTTGCATTCACATGTACAACTTCACAAGTACTGATGGTCCAACTAACAACAATATATGAGTGACGTAAATGGGCAGCTGCAAGCCTGTGGCAGTGGATGTGCCACAGAGAAATCCCAGAGGGAACGATTCCCTGGTCATTTTATGATGAAATATATAACCAGATGATGAGAAGTGACAGCCAGTGATGAATATGGATTTGTGTAGTTCCACCCGGCATCCCCTGAAGGTCTCTGGCCTTTCATACTCAACTGGAAGACTGTTCAACTGTTCAACTGTTCAACTGGTGAAACTTGCTTTTACAAATGAAAAACATACAGTAGACCTATGTTATGTTTTTTTATGTTTATTTTAGGCATGAGGGAGAGGGTGATAACCTGAGGCTGACACACAACACACTGTGCTGAGGAACATGCAGTTCAGGCAGCTGCAAGGCATGCTGGGGCAGGCGGGAGGACGAACCAAACAGCATAGAGATGGGTCATAAATAAAAAATTAAAAAACAGCCCTGGTTGTCACATGCAAACTGGCAACACTGTCATGGCACTGACACAGGGCGGCGGTGACACCACTACCTGGAGTGTCTGCACCTGCTGGCCTGAGGCCGTCACCACTGGCGCCTCTGTTTGCAGCTGCACAGCCGTCACTGTGCCCTGTGTCTGCAGACAAGGCAGGACAATAACAATCTCAGACAAGTAGTTATCACGACAATGGACTGGACCTGGAATCCACTGGAGCGCTGTGGTTCTGGTACCTGTGACCCCTCAGCACAGGGTGTCATCGCTGTTGGCTGTGAATACTTTTCATTATCATAACCCACATTTAATGGGAGTACGGTCTGAGCTCACCTGCTGCTGGATCTGTCCATTGGCAGTCTGCACAACTATCTGCTCCCCTGTAGTGGTGGTGGCAGTGGTGTACTGCTCCATGGCGTGTTAGTGTGACAATCCTCTTCTCTTAAGACAAAAGAAATACACGTTTCCACAGTATTAGCTACTGTCAGATTCATCAATTATTAATACATTTCACACAACCACGGCAGAACTGACCATACACAAACAGCTCATTGGTTTTTCACGACCTGATTATTAACTCCATTATCATTTGACATTATATGAATAAGGACACATAGGCGGCCTCCAGTATTCAAATCGAGCTAACCTGTATCATAATATACCACATGTTGAGTCTGATATTTAGATATATATATATAGTAACCATGCACTAGGTTTTATAAGGAGGATTGCGGCTGGATTTTGTTTTTATTCACAGGACATGGACGTGTGGGAGCTAACAAGGCTAGCGTCAGTTAGCAAGCTAAGATAGCAAGATAAACGCTATTTAAAACACAGGGAAACACAACACACAGGCTGTCAGGCAGGTTAGCTGCTAACACCGGTGATGTGGCGTGTTGTTGTTTATTACAGTTTATGAAACGATGCTACACCGGGGGGTATTTTCGGCGGCTATTTTCAACCACCCCCTTTGTTTGAGAGTCGCTATCTAAGCTAACGAGCTAACGTTAGCCGAGGCTTGCGGAGCACCACACAACATGTTTCCTCGCAGGACCAGACACCGAGAACCAGGAGTCATTTGCAGCCTGATCGGCCCGGGACGCGGCGGCAGAGAACGAGCTGCCATTACACTCGGTGTGTTTTTTTTCCTACTGCATTTAACAGGGTTAGTAATTTGGTTGGTCCATGACAAACCAATCGGTGCTGACAACTACCAATGCCTTCAATCGGGTCTCCCTTACCGTGTCTCCGCTGTCCGGTTCCCCTCTGATTGGCTCCAGTACAGCTCGCTAAAGCCCAATCAACAAAGTGAGCGGACAAAATGGCGCAAATGAGACAACGGCGCCGCGGGAGGAGGTGCGCAGCTGCGTGTCCCTCACACACAGCTGCAGAGCCCCGGCTGGCCGCCAGAGGCCGCTGCGTCACAACCTTCTTTATTCACGTTCGTTCGTTTCTATCTTGTTTTGATTGTTGATTTATTCAGTTCATGAAATGACGCACGATGAGCAACCAGCACGTGAAAAGGACCTTCAAGTTACTGTTCTGTCACTTTATTCAGTAGCAGTGTACCTGATAATAAGACAAGATAAAACTTTATTGATTTACACACCAGGGAAATCCAGTTGTTACAGCAGCAGGAGGTAGACAAGAGAATCAAACATATTTTAAAAGTTTCCCACCATGAAATGTTACTTCAGCAAAAGAGGGAACCAGATGACAGGTTCTTATTTTGGTGATAAGACAACTCTGTAAGTGTCAACCAGGAACATTTCATCAACAGAATAGTTCCCCAATCAAGTGAAATCATGTGTTCTTCATGAACACAGACATATGGAGGACAGAAGATTTTAAATGTTATTTGTCTTATAGAAATCCTTACTGAGTGATGTATATGCACCTAGTGTTGATTGTGATAACAGTTCCTGTAGATGTAAAGATGTGAGTACCCTGTCAGACATGAGGACATGATTACCTCCTGAGGCTGAATTGTGATTTACACTGGATATAAATACATTATGACTTGACTAGCCTCCATCTTCGTGATATATTTAATACACCTGGACCTTTACACAAGAGAAAGACTTCGATTTTCTACTATTTTGTTTTCACCTTCTGTGGTTGTGCAGCTTGAACAATAATTCAGTATGTGTGGTATTTCACCTCCACTCCGCTAGTAGGCAGTGTCGCACGCACTTTATTCTCGTGTTTGCGGAAGTGCGTGCACGAGTCTCACAGGTTGACCAGTGTGGAGTTGTTTAGTTTCAGTGAGGGTCTCTGCTCATCTGTGAGGAAGGGGAATCATCTCAGTGCGAATAAGAAGAAGAGTACATGTATGTGTGAGCCTCCTCTGTGTGGTGACTCCTAACACCAGGACCCGGTGTCTGTGAGCATGGCCCGGCCTCTGCAGCTCCTCTCCCTGCTCTCCAGGCTCGGTGCTCGGTCACTGACTCCCCCTGACAGCTGCAGGTTCTCCAGCAGAGGCGTCGCTCCGTGGATGGGACAGAGCCGTGTCCGCAGAGACAGAGCTGCGGGACACAGCGAGGACATGTCCGAGGAGGAGGGGGGAGGATGTCTGGAGGATGTGGAGGACAAGCTCCAGACCTTGATGGAGTAAGCAGCAGCTGTCACACATTGATGGTAGTATGTTGTTGTGGTAGTATGCAGGGACGCCACAAGAAGAATGAAGGAATATGATCATCTTTGAGTTCAAGTGTCAGCTGGTCTAAATTTGAAGAAGCTCCCTTCATGCAGACTCGAGATATCACGTGTGAAAGGATTGTTTCGGGCTGTTCTTAAGATAGTCCGTTCACAAAGCAAACAGGGGGCTTGTGAGGTCACTGTGATCTTGACCTTAGTCCACTAAAATCGAACCAGCTCATCTTTGTGTCCAGGTGAACATTTGCACCAGATTTGAAGAAATTCCCTTGAGGTGATCCTGAGATGTTTGCGTTCATGAGACCGAAAAAGTGTGTTGAAAGTTCACAGTGAGCTGCTCAGCTGTGAGTCCACATCAATAATTGAACCAAATATAAAGAAACTAGCTCAAGGCGTTCTTGGGCTATTGATTAGGACGAACGGTTAAAGAAAACTTAATGCCTCCCGTCACTGGCTGTTGCTGGGGTGGAGGCATACAAATAATTGAATGCACTTAATTCTCTCCTCTGTCTGTGCACTCTGCACCACATTTCCTGTTTTTCAGTGAAGGGAGGAAGAGGCAGAGGACAGTGAAGTATCACATACTGAGGAGGCAGATGACTCCACCTGGAGCTCCACAGAGGAAGCTGACCTGGGAGGCTATAGAGCAGATCAGGTGAGAGGCTGTCTGTTGTCTTTCCAGCCACTGAACCAAAAAACAACCATTCACTTAATTCTGGCTTAAATGTAATGTTTTCAGATACCTGAAGCAAGAGCAGCCAGAGGAGTGGACAGTAGAGCGTCTAGCTGAGGGCTTCTCTGTTGCCCCGGATGTCATCCTGAGGGTCCTCAGGAGCAAGTTTGTTCCTGCGCCTGTAAGAAAATCAAAGCAGGACACTAAAGTAATGGCTGCACTGAGTCAGCAGGTGCTGCCTTCAGGTGCAGGGCAGGACAGACCAAAACTGCCTGGGAACAAGGCAGCGGCCATACTCCCACCTGGAAGCAGAGAAAGTGCGTTAATCTCTGCCGCTGACCGGATCATGATCTCAGGAGCCCTGGCCAAGAGTCCAGCCCTAGTTACTGTTCTGCCCACCAGGCTCCCAGCTGGCATCAGTAAAGATGTCTTAGAGACGAGATCAACAGAGGAAGACAGGCCCAGCAGCACTAATCCAACGGAGGAGGACACAGAGGAAGAGGACAGCTGGGACGGCTGGGTTTTGACAGAAGAACAGCTGGAAGAGTTTATGGAGATGGAGAAGCCTTCTCCTGTGGTGCAAGTTGGGAATGATTTCTTTGATGCAGAGGGAAACTTTATGTATAGAATATGAGGACTTCCTGTTGAACCTTTGGCTGTCGTCATGGAAATATTATTCCACCAATAATAATCAACTCAGTGACTTCTGGAATAGATCTCTACTGTACAGGCAAAATAAAAGTCTAAATTCATATTTTTCTGTTCAAAAGTTATATTAAACAATATCTTCTTTTGATAATTTATTTCAGTTTTTGCTTTTGAATCTGAAAACATTTAGCTTCTGTAAAACAGATGAAACGTATTGTGTTTGCACGAGAGGAATCCCAGCTGCAGCCATCCCAGGAAACAGGATGGGGTTGGTCAAAACTACCATGTACACTGTTTGCCAGCCATTATAAAGTTCTGATTTAATTTTCAGCTTCCAGGATATTTGTGTGTTTCACTCTTCAGTTTCATTGTTGGTTGGTTAGCATGAACGACTGCACAAAAACTACTGCAAGGTTGACCACAAAACGAGGTGGAAGGATGTGGTATGGGTCAGAGAAGAACCCACTATTTTTTGATACAGATCCAGGAATTATTCTCTTTCTTTAACATTGTTAGAGCATTTTTCAACAGTCTCGTTGAATCATTCTCAGAGAATAATTCATGGTTCTTGATGAAAAACAAAAAAACCAAATCGGGCTTATTTAAGGATACTGATATTTTTGCAGATACAAATACAAGTCCAGAGCTAGTGAATTTAAACGTGGTTTCACAAGAGGACTGTTAGGTCTTGGTGTATGTAAACAGTGTCATTTTAGTTTTAGAGGAAATAATATTCAAGAAAGTAGAGGAACATATGAATTTATTGGCAAACCCAAGTAAAATTGCCTCAAATGTACAGAAGAGAGAAACAGCAGATACAAAGGTGTGACCTTGTATATTTACAGAACCAGCACAATTACTTTTTTATTTATACAGTAGTTCCAAACTGCAAGAAAAAATGTGTTACCCTCCCACAATGAGCTCAGCAAGTCTCTCCCAGTGTTCAGTATACAGCAGATGAGTAATAACCCTGTATTCACACTCTTTATTTGAGTTGTCTCACAGTCAGAACTTAGTCTCACAGCAAGACATGAGGGAGTAAAACCAGGTTACTGATGCCTTCTCTACAGAGCTCTGTGGATTGAATTATCATTGAGTGTTAACATGCAGTTCAATAGGAGCCCATATGAAACATGTTCTTTCTGCTCAAGTGCAGCAAAGAGGTGTCACTGACATACTGGATGCAACTGGTTACACATTAGTTGATATAAATAGTTATCAGTAGATAGATGCTGGCCTCACATTAGAGGGGCCTCACATCAGACCCTCACACCCAGGCACTTGCATAACCGCATCAAGTTTACTGCACTCTGAACCTGCACGTCACTAATAAATAAAAACCTGCAACACATTTAAAACAGGACAAACAAATGATTGTGCAAGAAATATTAAAAAGCAGAAAAAAAAAAACCCTGTAAGACTGGACAAGATAAGACGGATCTGTTGAGAGGTCAATCACGTTTAGCTTCACAATGACAGTAGTCTCGAGATGATTAAATAGAAAATAAAAACAGTAGTTAGCTGTAAAAGACGTAAATGAGAGACTTTGAATAACCCTGTGATTTAAGAGAATTTGCTTCACCTCAGTTGCAAATATATAAAAAGAAACAATTCTCACATGGTGTTGCAGCAAAAACAAATAAGCTACCATGTTTATCTTCCTATACAACATTTACATGGTTGAACCGTCTCCCACACACATACATTGCTTCTGTGTTTCTGTCACCAAATTTTACTGATGTATTGTTTTTTTCTGAATGTGACGTAAAAAATATTTGTTGACATTTACCATCAAACTATGATAATTCTCTTTTTCATTTGCCATGAGAGTTGAAAAGTTAGTAGAAAAACGACTCGAATGATTATAAACACACTACAGTGATTAATACAGTATTATCACATTAACCATTAGGTCACATTTAGGAAAAATTGTTAAACTACAAACTCTTAGCATATAAAGGACCTTGTGCTTCAGGCAGTTAGAACTGCAGACATTTTTTTAAATAAATCCTGTCTTGAAACAGACACACTTTATCACCCTATACACTGAAATGTAATGTGTTTCACAAAAACATCTCCATTCAACAAATGGAGCAACTGGAGACCTTAAGAGATATTGTGCCAAGAGGATTATTTAAGGTGTTTGGACAATGTTTGGATCTAAACACATTATTGCTATCAAATCTAATGCAAATTAAAGTTTTCACTTGCATCTTATTACTTTGAGAAAGGATCCTGGTACCGTAGACTATGGAGGCTTGTATTCTAAGTACAGACCACACCAAGGGACTTCACAAATCAGTGCCAAGACAGGAGGCTCTAATATGCACTTATTAATGGCTGTATTAAAATACTGTATTAAAGGTTTGAGAATGTTGTTTACCAGCTTCCAACAGCAATCCTTTCAACACCTTCCAAATGGATACCACATCAAAAAAGAATAAAAATCAGGTTTATGTACAAGTGCATGAGAAAAAGGACAAAGACCTTCAACAGAAGTGAAAAGTATAATTTCCAGGAGCACTCCCAGGTGATGGGAGAGGCAGGACCCATAATGCAATAGTGGTGGATTTATGCAAACAGCTTTGTTTCAAAAAACTCATTGCTCTGGCAGTCAGCAGTTCTAATGGCTGCATCAGTACTTTGCCTAATTGTAGATTCAAACTCAACCAATCGAATCAGAACTGAAGCACAACACTACGAGATCTCCTTAGTTCCCCTCAACCGTGCATTAGTCCCAAGACGCTTCTGTACATTCATTATACTTCACAGATGAGTGCCGCAGACTCTTCGTCTGCTCGCTGAGGCCAACGTTCAGACTAGAGGGTGAAAGGAAGAAGTAGCTGGAGACAAGAGAGATACAGGAACAACAGCCTGCCACCAGGTGGACTGGAAACCTGTTGCTGAATTGCGTGACAGGTTGTGCCAGCTATTCAAGTAGGTCCTGTGCAAAGAGAAGAAAACAGCATACCAATGAAGTCAGAACCTGACACAGCAGAGCAAACAGATCATGTTTACACACACACACCTAACTCCTTTACTCAAGTGACCTGGTTAAAAGTCTTTTCAGGTTAATGCTGGAACATTCAAATACAAAGTCATCTGATACTGAAAGTCCAGCTGCAGTTCATAACACCTTCTTAGACTGGATAACATATGGTTGTAAATGTACTTTTGAGTTTTGAGTACAAAGCTGTCCCCTCCCCCACTCCGGATTCCATCTGATCATTCAATATATTGCATTGGCTGTTAATAGCATATCACAGGTACTGGTATGTAAGTCGACCGATGAGTACCAAAGAAATTGCAATGCCAGAGATGCAGTGTGTTTCAGGTAATTTAGACACTTTGTGGGTTTTCAGCCTAATCTTTGAAGGAGACCTTAAACCCATGTTTATATATTGGCCTGTATATGAGGAGGTTAAATATGTCCACTGTACCTCATCTGAGTCATCGTGAAACACTATCTTCCCATTCTGTGCGTGGTTGGTCTCAAGTGGGTCGTCTACCTCAGCAGCAGCATTGTCCTCAGCGTGTTGCTGCAGCACAGAGTACCTGTGAACCAGGAACCTGAAGGCACATCCACAACAATGTCAGGTCACTTAAAGGTTCAGTTAGTAGGATTTAAGTGAAAGGGATCTATATAAAATAATCCCAGTGATGTTTCAACTAGTGTGTAATCACCTAAAGTGTATAGATTGTTGTTTTCTTTACCCTAGAATATTTACAACTGAGCCAAAAGATTCTTTCCCTGGTAATGTTCTTCAATAGAAAGGTTTTGGTTAAGAACCAGACTATGAATATAAGCAGAGAGAAGCACTAACCTGCCGCCACAGACATATTTCTTGACAAAGACGACTCCTGCAGCAATGCTCAGTAACATGATGATGACGATCGTTACCACAATGGGAACAGACTTGGAGGAGTGTATGTCGATCTGTAAAAAAAAACAAGATAAACATGTCGGGATGAAAAAGGGTTATGCAGTAACAGATAAACTGAAGACAAAGGTTGTGATTAAATCTATATTTATAACATTTTCAAGAAGCAGAAATACTTACCAGAAGTTCTGGGCCGACCAGGTCACTCACACACCTCTTACTGAGGTCGATCTCTTTACGCTCAGGCATCTTCCCTCCCTCACACTTATCTCCGGGGATCTTCCTGTAGCTGTGGACCAAGAGCAAATCAGTCAGTGTTGATATTATTATTATTATTATTATTATTATTATTATTATTATTATTATTATCATTACCCAGTGGGAGGGATGACAGTTGACTGATAAATAGATTTCCATTCACATCACTTCAACAGGAAAACCATTAAACCATAATAATATTAATAATATTGTTAATAATAATATTATCCTCTTATCAAATTTTATTTTCAATCATTTTAATTAATTCTACGATAAAATTAAATAAGTCAAAAATAGTTGTTTCCTAATTATTGAGTTTTAACTTTGCTCAATACAACAACCTGCCTGTTCTACATAATTGTTTTAACTGAATTCTTCAGCTACAGCATAAACAATACTGATTTTCTGAGTCAGTGTGTGTTTGAAATTGTTTACCAAACGTTTTTCTATTCTGGTCAGCCTTCTCTCTTTCACAACAAAAACATGAGACTCATCCTCAGTCTCATTTACTTCCTCTTCCTGTTCTCTAAACGACAGATACTTCCTTATTCTCGTCACCCGTCTTCTCTAAATCAGACAAACACAAAGGACAGCCCTCCGTCACTTTCTCTAACAGAACATATGTCAGAGTTGGTGGCCTTTCGTAAAGTGTTGTACACTTTTAACATTAACCTTTTATTAATACCGTTACTTGGGTTAGACTGGTAGAGACACAACATTGTGTTTTTTCCACCAATCACGTAAAACTTCACAAACAGAAACCGAAGCGTCGGAAGTGGGAAGCACATCACACAACAAAAGAAAGCACCATTGACACAAGTGACAGTGTTACAGTTGTTACACTTTCATATCTTTAACTTCAGTCCCTCTTTCAAACTCAACAGCGACTGAATGACTTGTCAGTGTTGCATCTTGTACGATACCAAGAAATGTTTTTATCACTGTTTTTCCCGAGATGTAGAAAACAATAAGTACGTAAAAGTTCATGGCTATTAACTCGTCAACGCCCACA